GGTCGTTGGCGCCTACTCATTTGTTACCCAGTGGTAATGGTTGTCAGATGTTTTGAAAATGTACATTAGCGCTGCGGATACGGCTGCTTTCAGAATGGGGATCTTGGTACCAGTTATTCTTGTCAAAACTTTCCATATGTTTTACTGCATGCCATAATTTGTTGAGACCAGTCTGATACACCAATTCACTTTAGGATCAGTGTTGCTATCGTTAGTCCACACAAATCTGGACTACTTGAAATGATCCACTTTGTCAGTCATAATACAGTTCCATGACGCCTAACTAACGTTATTTATACAAAAGAGTAGTCACCATTCAAAAATGGGTTATATCTCCCCAGTGCTGCTTTACCGCCGAAATTGCGCTCTAGTGTATAAGTTACAACAAGCCGTTTAGTTAGCAAATTTTCATTGACGTTTTGTTCCATCTGGAATCTCTGGTAGAATTTCGACGAGCTGTGAGATGTTTAGACTCCTGCTATCGCGGAGGTGTTCAGACTTTCTCTTTATGTATGTTCGTAACGTAATGCTGTAAAAACGATTTTCAGGAGTTGTTGATGGAACTTTTGCGTTCGTGCGATGCCATGCTAAAGGCTGAGGTCACATCCTGCGCCGCTGAATTCGAGCATCGCCTGCGGCTAGGATCCAAGGCCATCTACCATCTTGAAGCTTTTGTCGCAAAATTCATGTCTGTCTACAAAAAGTTCTTGGAAGCTACTTTGAGCAGTCTGGAGTGATATATTTTTCACGTCCTTTATTTCTAATAATCATTAAAATAGATTAAATAAATGCAAATTTTTTAAATAAACAATAACTGATCAAGTTCATTTTGATTCGCTGATGAGGCAAATAAGACACTGCGTCTCTGTGGGGGGTTCTTACATTCTTGAGAAGGCAGTAGCCTGGCCAGATCGCAGTGTAATCTTCTGGCGGTTCTTCAGTAAGGAAATGAGAATAGATTTGGATATGCGGTTGCTTTAGTTAATTCCTTTATTAAATCGTATTATTTATTGAAGCAGCCCAGTTTCAATTAGTAATATTCTTTAGGTATACGTAAATTCAGGATATCTTCTAATTGAAATATTTCTATTAAGTGGAGCGTGAACTGATCCGTTTATTAATCGTTGTAATTTGCTGTTAACTTTCACAAAATGCTTAATATAGCATGCCGAAAGCAGCATGCTGCATCGATGTTCTGTTCAACGGAATGAATCTGCAGCTGAGATAATGCTGTCAACAGCGGAGAATCACCACTTGAACATCATTTAGTTGGAGTTGATCCACGTAGCTGTTTTAGCTTGTTTCTGTTCGACACAACAAAGTGGATCAGTTTTGCTCGAAGGCGCTAAAAATTTCACAGAGCAGTAGCGTGCTTAAACGGTTCCCTAGACAACTGAAAGCAAGTGGTAGTGCGTCTTGAAATCCAGAGAAGTGTTAGACGATGTTATTCTTACCGACGATATGGAAAACTGGCAGTTTGCTGTTAAACCCGTAATACCCGGGTTATGGCCATTTATTGCTATGACAGCCGTAAAAGCGTGGCAACAAAGCTGGATTCAAACTCATCATTGATTGTGTTCTACTTTGCCAATATATGTATTATAATAAATGGCTAATGACCTAATTTCTTGTGGGAACACGATGATCAGTAACTATTTTCGACAATGTCGATGGCAGCGTGCCTGTTTGAGCCAGTTTACAATGCACAACATTGTCTTATGCAGAACTGTTAATGTATGCACATTATTAATGTTTGCATATAATTATGCGTTAAAAGTATTATTATAAGCTAACGTAGGTAGCGGTTGATTGAACACAATGGAAACAATAGGTGTAGCATATGATTGATCACTACCGACTTTTCGATCCTTATCTCATGGACTTTCCTCATTGTAAAAGTAGTGTTTTTCAACAGACTTGTTTACTACAGTTGCTAAAGTTTGCTGAACCATAAGACTTTAGGTCCTTCATGCTATTTTATTAGTCTACAGGCGACTGGTATGAAGAAACTCATCCAGCCCATAAGGAATTTGTATTTTTTACAATATTTTTATAATATTGAATGATTTTTTTTATCATGCCTTTTCAGCCCGTTTCTTTCGTCGATAAGGCCACTGCTGACTGTAAATTTGCATTTGTGTCTTTCCTGTTTCCTCGATTTCTTTTTGTATTAGAACTTGACTTGGGGAAAAGCTAAAGCTTTTCTTCGACCGGAGTGCTTCTTTTGAATATTCCGCCTGCATTCGTAGGCGATTATGCATCTTCTATACTTTGACAGATGTGTGTTCATCGTTTGATTGATAGCGTTCTTTGTTTATCATTCGTACCATTAACGGTAATTTATAAACTTAATAGAGTCTTTGTTCTCAGAATTAGAAGTGAGGCGTTCGGTTTATTAAACCTCCTGTGTTTGGGAATAATGTTATATTTAGTGATCCTTGTAAGTTTTAAATATCGATTTTCTAAGGAAATTATAGATGAGTTAGTTTTAATATCACTATAGTTAACAACAGCCCATAATGCCTCCATGGTCAGATTTCATGACGTATTGCACCGTTTCCTCATTCCTGATTGCTTAAAGAAAGTGTGAAAGTAACGAAAGTTTTTGATCGTTTGGAAGTCTGTATCCCTTGCATTTTTCTGAATATGGGCCACTTGTTGTCTCCTCATTTCATGAAGTTTGTGGTTCTGCGCTGCTCTTTGTTTCTCTGCCATCAGTATCATCTGTTTTATTTTAAAGGCAGAATTGACATCAGCTATGAGGGAAGCACTACGTGTAGTCTTCTCCTAGAGTAGTAGTCATTTATTAGACTCAGAAAAAAGAAGGGCAAGTGATTCCAGTTGGCAAGGGAACAGTTTAAGTAAGTCACTTACAGTGTTTTATGCACTGCGCGTCATTTTGCACATTAGAACGATTTCATGCCAATCAAAAATGATGTTTCAGTAGCTACTACTTCTTATGCGCTACTTGTGTTGAGCTTAGTCAGTCAGCTTCGATGACCACTTATCCTTTCGGGTCGCGGAGGCAGTCGTGTCAGACAGAGCTTTCATCGTTCCCGATCCTGTGCCAACGTTTGAGTTTCGGCAGAAAATAACCCGAATCTGGTGCGGAGTCATTCCATACACTTGCACCATGTTAATCTTGGCGCCCTTGGGTCTTCTGCCGGTCGGTTGGGCAAGAAATAATTGCTACCTTCCCAACCATCGCAGCTGTGACTTCTCAATCCGAAAAAGCGGCGGATAAACATCGAAGTTCTCTCAGATGATTGAACTCTGGACCATGTCGAAGTGCGTGAGGCAGGCAATTCTTCTCCAAAACTCCATTTTAGCTGCTCGTACCCGTGATCGAAGTTTTCAGTCATTGGCCACGACTCATGGCCGTAGATAAGCATAGGAATGAGGTTCCACTTGAACACAGAGAAGTTAGACTTCAGCTTCATCTGTTTTAGTCATAACAGCTCGGGTGAATTCGCTGAGGATGCCGCTGGTCACTTCAATTGGCTAACTAATTAGGAGTAAGTAGAGGTTTGCAGTTCGTAAGAAACTTATATAGTCAGTAATTGAGGTAGCGTGCATGGTCCCATGGTGTAATGGTTAGCACTTTGGACTTTGAATCCAACAATCCGAGTTCAAATCTCGGTGGGACCTGCAATTTTCCTTTACGATATAAGATAAATTGGAAGTTGGTCATTTGCAGTTACTGATCATTGGTTTGAAGCTTTGAAATTACTTTTACTTCTTTAGTGCCCAGTGGTAATTTTTCAGCCGCCATTTGCCATGAAATGCATTTAAAAGAATAATGCGAAAGATCCAGCGTACGATAAAATGTTTACTAATGAAAAACTGGTGTATTTTGATACTACTCAAATTTCGTTGTTGCATGACTCAGTTCTTCTGTTTCGTCTTTAAAAATTAATCATTTAAACTAAATTGATAATGCCAATCAATTTATTGTTGTTTGCTAAAAGATTTGTGAACAATGGAGTTACTTATGAAAATGTCGCAAAAAGTTTTATAAAGGCGCTGTAAGGTACCGATTTGACACTGCAATCATTTAAGCGTGTTTACTGGATTTATTTATGTAGCTTATTCAGTTCCACACAGTTGGTGGTGCTATCCATTTGTACATGAGAACTAATAAAATTTTATTGAAAACAAAGTCGATAACGAACTATTCCAACAATTTCTTACTTTACAATCGTTTCTTTGCTGAGAAGTTGAACTAAATTCGTATCAGATATTGAGTTTCTTTGGAAAATTTATGCAAATACTAATAGAACATCCAGTGTAACGTTCAACGTAATGGGGAATGCAATCTTTTAGGATAGCCTTTTATGCCACTTCTTTCTATCTGAGTTGGACTGCTATTCGGGATCTTCCGTCTTTTCTCTTACAGTAAGCCCTGCTTGCTCCAGCCATCGTCTGTTTTGACTATGCCACTTGTCGGTCACTTGTGCCAGATTCGAGAAAATTCTGCATATATTCTTAACATTGTTTCTCACGTTAATTTTGTTCTCACGTTCTTCGACGACGTTGAAAATTGTTACAAGCAAACCCTTTTTGAACGTTGTGAGAAACAGTGCCAAAAATTTACATGCTTCCTGCTGCTGCAGATCTGAAGCCAGACTGCACTGCAAGAAGGTTCGTGTTATCTTCAGTCCAGACTCTATCTTCCCCAGAAACCCATTGCAAAGGACAACAATCTTCTATACTTTTATTTACATTCACAGTATATGTGACAATATGACAAAGACAATTTTACAATATGGACATTTCATAGCCGGCACTCCAACAGGATCACCGAACAAGTACAACAACTTATAATTAAACAACTGCTCTGCTTTCAGCATCTTATGATTCCACTTGCTTTTCCAGACGTTCTTCTTATGGTCGGTATGGAAATCGCAGCCGTAATTTACAACATATTTATGAACAGATTTATCATACACAGTCTTTGATAACATACGTGAAACATCACTTAAGAACCATGTTTCTATTTCAATAATTTCTTTTCTTACACGGCTGACAAGTATTTGCATACATATAATGTGCGGTATCATTTCGCGCTCTGGCTGAGGAGATGAAACGCGCCTTTCTTCCAAAGAAAAAAGCAAATAGTCCACACCAGGTATTTTTGAAATCTTGTTCGAGGATATCAAGGCCGATGGCTGTTCTTGGGTCAGCTCCGCGAAGGCACGTGTTTATTTGGTGCTGGAGCATTCTCAAGGCAGTGTTGCTTGGCTGGCTCGCCGGAAGGAAATGCCAGATCTTGCTCAGCATGTATGCGCTGAAAAACATTGCTTTTTTTACCAAGTTCAAGCGCAGGTTCCTCATTTTGAATATTTCCTTCCTAATGATCGCCTTCATTGTGGAGATATTGATCTTTTCTGCATTCTTTCCCACAAATACTCTGAGGATCTTAGTTCTTGGCCTTATGTACTTCTGGCATCTTTCGTACCCAGCTCCCGTCTTTATATTATGGGTCACAATCGGAGTCTTTTCTTCGTTCAACGTCAGGCCTCAGTGACTTCGTATTTGCGTTGTTCTCGAAAAGCCCGTTCAACTGAAGACGGCTTTTATGACGAATATGAGGTCATTGCGTACGCTAGGCACTTGATTTGCCTAATTTCGCACTCCATGGGCACTTCCATACCACTGATCTTTCTATTTTCATTTATCTTGCGAATTAATAGATACAGTTGCAATACAAATAACAGTATCGATACTGGGCATCGTTGTTTTATTCTGTTTTTCAGCGGAAAACCCTCGCTTAATGCGATGGGAATCCATCGTCGGAAGCGGGCTCCAAGAGGCGATAGTCATTCGGAAGAAATCATGGCTGACGCTTTCTATAGCCTTGCTGAAGTCAGACGTCGTCATGGCGTAAGGTAGCCGCTTTTTCTTAATTGTCAGCTAAGTGTCAGCCATGGGGCACTCCACAAGACTGATACTGTGATGCGAGTTTTCCGACACCTGCTCAGCCTGTTGGCTAATACGTTGTTTAACAACTTGTAGTCAGTATTTAAGAACCTGACTGGTTGCCAGTTCTACAATTGCTCTGAATCCCCTTTTGTATGTAAGAGAGTTATGATCGAAAATTTCATGTTTATGAGGAGATGCTCTTGCCTCGCTGTCATTGAGCACTTTGAGAACATCTCGACCAAAGACCGACCAGAAGGCGCAGTAGAATTCTACTGTCAGGCCATATTCTCTGGGAGTCTTGCTGCCCTTCATTTGCTTCAGCGCAGCGTCTAGCTCATTTTGGTTTATCGGCTGCTCCAGTTGTCCCTTTTCGCCAATACGGAGAGGTTATTTGGTCTATACGCTGATTGTACTGTTGTTACACCAGCATCTGTCTTCGTGTGAACATTCCGGAAGTATTTCAGAATTGGTCGCTTGTCTGAGATGAGCGTGCTCTGCTCATCCCTTAGAGCAAGCACCGTTTTCTTGACTGTATTCTGCCTTTCAGTTGCTCGTACCAGTACTGTGAAGCATTCCTGTTATCTTGATCTTACAAAATATTATCTCATCCTGTCCTACTGTATTATTATATGTTTTTCCTTTAGTGTGCTTATTTTGCCCTAGTCAAACGTGTCTGATGCCAATACAGCTGCCAAGCGGCTCTTTAGCTCTTTCTGTTAGCGTCTGATGCTTGATGATTTCTGGGCCCATAGGTTCGCAAAACTTTTCGGATCTGCGTCTTTCCTATATCCCACCATCTGCTGGGATTCTGACACCTCATCGGCGTTGTTCTCCATAATCTCAATAATTCAGCGATGGATTGTTTGGCGTCTGTCTTATTTAACAGAATATTGTTATATTTTTATCTGCCCGGTACCCATTTCACAATGGAGAAGTTTTTCAGAGTGAGATGAATTGCACAGTGGTCACTGACTGAAGTTTCAAAGTATTACGTAGCTTTCACATGCATTTCGACCTGTCTGGAAACGTATACCCTGCCCAACCTGTTTAAATTTCCATTTTCATGGTAGCTGAAGCGCAAGGTAGTTTCAGACTTCTTTTTGCAGATGTCACAGAATTTGAATTGGCGCAACATGGCAAACACAGTGGACAAATATCCGTCTTCTGGATTCAGGTCCCCGCTCGACCCATTTACCTTGCATTGTACAGAGTTCCAGTGAGTACTGGCATGCCTGTTCTTAAATCCTCTCAGGACAGTTTTACTTCACCTACATTGAGCCGCATTCTCTGAATAGTTCCGGTGTGAATTTTACACATTTCGGTCCCTGTTATCTTCTGAGGATTGATAAAGATAGCAGTTAGCTCTGAGTGCGTTTCCCCATAATTCCAGTACGCCTTTACCTCCGACAGCTGAAGCAGCCTTTCTTTTTCGTTATCGTGCACCTGATGAATCTTCTGCAAGCAGACGATGTCATACTTTGACATTTCCTCCTCTAAGATGTAGATCGCTGCGCGAAATTGCTTGTTGCTGAAGTTCTAATCTCCAGTTCCATGCAATTAAGGTAAATAATTTTTAGAAACTTTTTTTACGGTTCGGTATTTATTCGAGGATGACAAATTAGTCTTCATCTTCCATGACCGCTTCGCCTTTCCGTTCTGGAACTTTCTTTTCTTCGGATGAAGATATTTGGTTGTGCTATTGCGGTGCGCATTTACCAGGTTTCTTCGGTGAGCGGCAACCGACACTCAGACCTCCACTGCTGTCGTCCGACAGTTCATCAGCTGAGTGGGAGTTTTAACTTTCTTTATGACCCCATCGGATCGCCATATTTGCCACATCTGTGACAAAAGCGGCTGCTCTGTCACTCGCCACCGCGGCGCCTGTGTTTACATTGGCTTCGCAGCTGCTGAGTCCTTTCATATCGTCGCTTGGCGCCCTATCGGCGTTCACCTCTTTCCCATTGCACACGTTTCTTTTGTTCCTGGAGTTTACAACACTCAATGGCCATGCAAAGGTCAGGTGTTGCTCGCTTTCTCTCGCCCTACTGTCGTCAATGTTTTCATTTCCCGTTTTCCCGTTTACTGGCACCACATTCCTCGCCACTATGTCACCAAGCAGTGTTAAGTACACCTGCATGCGACGAACTGCACCCTTGCGAAGTGACACTATTTTGACCTGCATTGCAGAACTGCCAGTGGTGTTTAGTGTTCCTATATTTCAGGCATTGCACAGGACATTCTCGCATCCAGTGACCTTGGTGCTCGCAACTTATGCTGTTTATACGATGCATAGCATTTTTGAAAATCTACGTAAACAGGCGCTATTACTGGCTTAGCCATGGAGGCTATGAATTACTGGTCTCACATCTTTTTCCTCTTCAATTGGTGACGTCCCCCTTACGACGAATGTGAGGTCATCCGCGGACGCAAGGCACTTGATCTGCCTAATTCCGCACTCCATGGATACTTCTACACCACTGATGTTATTATTTTCATTTATCTTGAGAATTAGTAGATCCAGCTTGCAATACGAACAACAGCATCGATACTGGACATCCTTGTTTAATTCCCTTTTTCATTGGGAAGCCCTCTCCTATTGCTCCGCTGACGGGGATTTTGGCACCGATCCCTCGATATATGATGTCAATCCATCGTCGGAACCGGGCCCCAAAACCATAATTGAGCAGCGTCGTTTGAAGGAACTCATGACTGATGTTGTCGAATGCTTTGCTAAAGTCGGTCGTCATGATGGCATACGGTAGCCGATTCTCCTTACCATACTCGGTTAGCAGCTTCAGTGTCAGCTGCGTATCGGCCACAGGCCGGCTGGGCACTCCACAGGACTGATACTGTAACGTAAGTCTTTCCATTACCAGCTCCAGCTGTAAGCTAATACCTTGCTTAGCAACTTGTAGTCAGTATTTAACAAGCTGACCGGTCGCCAGTTCTGCAATAGCTCTGAATCCCCTTTTTTATACAGCAGAGTTATGATCGAAGATCTCATGCTAAGGGAGAAATATCCTCTTGCCCAACTCTGTTTGAGTACCTTGAGAAGGTCTTCACTAACTACCAGTCAGTAGGCACGGTAGAATTCTGCTGACAGGCCATCTTCTCCAGTGGCTTTATGAATAATGGCTATATATCGATTAATGACCGCCATACGATTGCCTTAACACTAAGATTTCATGTTTGAACAGAGCTGTGAATAATAAACGAGCAAACCCAGAATTGCATTCACTATGCTATAATATATAAATTTGCTGAGAGCATATTGGCCGGTTATTTACCCAACGTTGACTGGTATGCATCTAG